GTTTTGTTTTTACTGAGACTTTATGTTTTTCCTCTTTATTTTTATGACTAGGTTTGTTAACTTTTTTTGTGGTTACCATGAAATTTACCCTTTTCTTTCTAAGTTTGAAGCAGTCTATTATTACTTGGTATTGCCTTGCCTTCCTCTCCATTAGAAGGTTCTATACCTACACTGTTTATTCCCTCTTTTATTGTTATGATGTTGCTGTCATTTACAGATTAACTGCTCTGATTCCCTGTTATATTTCTTTTGGTTTTGGATAGTCCTCAAGAGTTCATTTCCTAGGTTGGTATCTGGCTGGTACATTCCTGTGTCTTAGATTCAGCCTGTGAGCTGAAGTTGTTTGTTCTCAGATTGAAGGACTCTCTTTAATAATTTTTGTGATTTTGGTTTGGTTTTTACACAGTCCCTTAATTTCTGTTTATCTGGAACTGACCTAATTTCACCATCATATTTGAATGAGAGTTTTGCAGGATATATTATTCTTGGCTACTAATTTTTTTCTTTCAAGGTGTTATATATGTCATTCCATTACCTCCTTGCCTGCATGATTTCTGCTGAATAATCTGAGCTTAATCTTGTTGTTTCTCCTCTGTATGTGACTGTTTGTTTTTCTCAAGTTGCTCTTAGGATTCTTTCTTTGTCTTTGGTTTTGGCGAGTGTGATTATGATATGCCTTGGTGATTTTCTTTTGGGGTCTCTTCTGTATGGGATTCGTTGAGCTTCTTGGATGGCCAGCTTTTCATCTTTCATGACATTGGGGAAGTTTTCTGTCAGCAGTTCTTCAATGATCTTCTCTGTGTTTTCTGTTTTCTCCCCCTGTTATGGAACTCTGATCACTCTAAAATTTTTGCTTTTGATTGTCTCCCATGTAATTCTCAAGTTCTCTTCATTTTTCTTAGTTTTCCTCAGAGTTGTATCCAAGTGTTTGTCTTCAATTTCACTGACCCTGTCTTCTACCATTTTGAAACTATTCCTCAGCCCTTCTATGACACTGTCCATTTCTGAAATCTTGTTGTTTATTTTTTGGATTTCTAATTTTTGTTTTTGTATAATTTCTAGTTGTTACTTTATTTTCACATTTTGTGCCTGCATTGTTTTCCTGAATTCTTCCTTTTTTTGGTCTGTATTTTCCATGAATTTTTGTCTGCCTTTTCCATGAATTTGTCTATTTTTTCCTCATTTTTTGTCTGTTTTTTACTTCAACTCTTGGATAATTCTGAGTATTAGAGATTTGAATTCCTTATCAGGTAGTTCTAGTGCCTTTTCTTCTACTGGAAAGTCATCTGGTGTTTTATTTTGGAAACCTACTGGAATCATCCTGTCCTGTTTTTGTAAATGTTTTGATATTGTCTGCTGTCTTCAGTGCATTCAGTATTTATTTTCCTCATTTATTGATTGTAGATTTGTTTGTTTCATCCTGTTTTTTTTATTTGGCTATGTCTGTGCAGGTGGGCTGTGTGTTCTTTGTTGTTTGCTCATCTGTGGGCACAATACTTTTCACCTCCTTCTCCAATTGGCAGTGTCAGTCGCTCATATATGGTACAACCAGGGCAGGTCTAGCTGAAGATGAGTTGCTGGGATTGGTTGTTTGTGGCACTTACTACAGCCACCAGTGCATGCTGGTAATCAGTGCAGAGCAGGTTCCAGTAGGCCATGGCGGTGCTGCTTGGTGGTGTGATATTAAGTGCGCAGTGCAGGTAGGCGGGATGGAGTGGGGAGATTGTGATGTGTGGAGCTAAGTTGGGTATGGGAGAGAGGGGAGAGGAATAGGTGCAAAAAACATACAAATGAACAAGAAAGAGCGCTAGGGGAGCTTGCTGTTGGAGTGGAGAGATGAGAGACTATGAAATGGTTAAAAACAAAAAGGAGAAGAAGAAGAAAAAAAGAAAAGAAAGGAATAAATAAAAACTAGAAAGAAAAAAGAAAATAAAAGCTCCCAGGGATCCCACTGGTGCAGCTACATGGTCTGGGGAAGTTGCTCCCAGGCATTGAAGTATAGCCTGGCTGAAAGGCGTAGAGGTGTCACTCAGCGTCAGGTATTCAGGGGACAGAAAGACAAGGAAGGTATAGAGAGATGAGAAACTGAATAATGAAGACAGACAAAAAGGGAAAAAGAGGGGAAAAAAACCAAAACAAATTAAAAAAAAAAAAAGAACAAGAAAAACCTCCCAAAAAACAGTAAAAAAAAAAACCAAAAACCAAAAAAAGAAATGTGCTCAGGGATCCCTCTGCATGTCTGCATAAACTGAGGTGGTAGGTCCCAAGCCGTGCAGTACTGCCCAGCTAGAATGGGCTCCCAGTTCGAGAAAAGAAAAAGAAAACAAACAATTCAAAACAAATGAACAAATGCCCTGGGATCCCACCAGCTTGGCAGCACGGACCGGGAAGAAGTTTCACATTCGAGCAGAGTTTCACAGCCTTTCAGGAAGAAACAAAGATGGAGCATGGAGCCAGATATTTGACAGAAAGGAAGGGGAGTTGGTGAAATGTAAGGAAGATACCTAAAGAAACAGAAAAAAGCAACACCAGCAGCCAACAAATGGCACTCAGGGAGTCGGCCAGTTTGGGCTGGTAGAATCCAAGCAGCCTGGGCTTCCCGGCCAAGAGACTGTGGCCGCCGGAAGCAGAGGAGGCTGACTGGGGGTGAAGAAGTGTGGGCGGTTGGAAAGCGTATATCACCGGTCACCAGTTGTTCTGTCTCCTGCTGGAAGCTCCGTGAAGCTGCTTTCTTGTAACCCCTGTTCGCTGGTCTCTGATAGGAGTCCAAGATGGTGGATCTGTGCTGCATTAGTTGATGGGGACCTCTGCATGTATCTCTCCTCACTGTCTGTTCTCTGTCAGTTTCTTATTCCATTTGGTGCTTGGCTGAGTTCTTTATCTCTTCATTTGATGCTTAGGGTTTCAGGATTGCTTTTTTCTCTGTTTGGCTTAGTTTTTCTGATTTTTGCTGTGGAGGGATGGCATGGTGCGTCCGCCTAGAGCACCATGTTGCCCGGATGTCCTCACAGGATAATATTTTAAGCAAAATACTATGCTAGGATTTTAAGTAATTTGTTTTAGCTCACATTATTTGTAGTTGTGAAAAGTAGGATAAGAGAACTGTTTCCAATGTTATTTCAACGACAAAAATCCAAGAGTTACTTCTCAGTCTGTAGTACTTATCTGACTTTGGTGAGGTATTGCTCTGATTGCTTTCTCCTGAAAATTCTGCACTCTGTGGTTTTTAAGACGTTACTCTTGGATCTATATCTACGTCTCTGATCCTTACATTTTCACTTTCTGTAGTGTCCTCACCCACCCTCATGAAATCGATATCTCTAATGCCATTCTGAATTGTTTTCCTGATTTCTAGAACTATAAGTCTGCACATGGACATCTCCACATGAAAATTCCATAGGAAATTCCCTGACTCAGGAATGACTTAGTCACCTGAATGAAAAATCTGGAATTCATCATACACTCTTCCCTTTCCTGGGTTCCTCACACTTTATGAATAACTAAGAACTATCAATTTTATCAAGGAGCCCTTATGGCAGAGGGGTTAAGTGCTTGGCTGCTAACTGAAAGGTCAAACCCACCAACTGCTCTGTGGGAGAAAAGATGTGGCAGCATGCTTCCATAAAGATTACAGCCTTGGAAACCCTATAGGGCAGTTCTGCTCTGCCCTACAGGGTCGCTATGAGTCAGAATGGACTCTACAGCAATAGGTACGGGAATCAATTTTATCTTCCAAATCACTTTTCAGTTTGTTCACCTCTTCAGCACTCAAAAATGCTCTAGCCTTGGTCCTCATTATTCTTTCTTTTACTACCATAATAGGAAAAACACTAAATTTATTGGAAAGATGAAATCAGTTTTAGAGATGATGAGATGACAGTATTTGAAGATTAAATCTCTAAACGTGGAAAAACTGTATCAGAGAGTTTGGACATTCAAATTTATAATAGATCAACAAAAGTCCCCTCCAAAGATAAGGTTCTAATTTAAATTCTCCTTTACAATTCATAAAAGTAGAGGTTGATGCAGTGAATAGTAAGGAGGTAGATTCTTTGGTAACCGATTATATGTGGGAAGGAGGGAGAGTGGGTGGCAGAGAATTAGAAGGAAGAGTCAAGGATGATTATAAAGTACATTTGTTCCCAAGGTAGTAGTAACTCAAACAAATAACACTAAGGTTAAATAATTCTCTAGCTCAAAAGTACAATCATGTGAAATCAATTAAATAAGCTTTAGGGGTCATTCAGGAAACCCTGCAAGTTGCTTAGGAGAGATCATTGGATTTAAGCCACTGGGAATTATACCTGAAAGCCAAACCACTGTTAATTTTATGCTCACCATGCATTATATTTGACAATTTTGAATGGTTGACAAGAGATGTATTTTTTTGTTTTGTATGTATATTAGTAACTATGTACTTAACTAGACTCCTTGGTGGTAAGAAGACCATGAGTATACTCATTTATTTTAAGAAGTTTGAGTTGAAGGTGGGTTCTGTATTTGGTCAACGATAGGAATATAGAAGGAAATAGTTGAATATTTTACATTTATGGTTTTCTGTGCACTTATGTGTGTACGTGTTTCAATGAATGATACAAACAAAAACAGACTGTGATATTACTATAAATCATTTTCTGGGCTATATATTTAACACCCCATTTTTCCTTTTTTATTGGAGTGCAGTCAAGAGGATCATGGAGTGCTGGCTCATATGCTGCTAATTTTTAGATTTCGCTCTACCAAAGATCCTGAAAACATAAATAAAAATATTCAACGTGTTCTTCATGAGAAGTTGCAAGATGCGATAGGACCCCTTAAAGTAGATCCTGAATCAGTTGAAATTAAAAGTAAGTATATTTCTCTTATTTAGTTTACTTTTCTTACATAGAACAGTTCAGTGTCAGGTTTGGTCTTGGTGTTTTTGTTTTTTTTTTTGATAGCCTTTAATTCTGGGGTCTTGTTATTAAAAGAAAATGCCTTTGGAACTAATACTAATAAAATATTTTAATTTTTAAAGCTACCCTAAGCTTATGCCTTCTGTACAACCTGTCATTGACTCTTGGGTCTGAGTTCTTTTTTCTGTATTGGCCTTATACTTTAGCTATGTTGTTATTGTTGCCTGCTGTTAAGCTAGCCTCCATTGTGCATGTGACCCCATGCACAACAAATGAAATGCTACCTGGAACTTCACTGATTTTTGAAAGTAGGTCACCAGACCTTTCTTCCTAGTCTATTTGAAACCTGTTCAGCATCACAAGCCTCCACTGACAGATGAGTGGTGGCTGTGCATGTGGTATCTCCTGCATGGAAGGCAAGAAGTCTACTACTGAACCACCACTGCCTGCTATATTTTAGCTATAGAATCCAGTTATAAACAGGAAAAATAGATTTATATCTTCCTCTTGTTTTTCCTCTCTGCTTCCATTATATATCCTGTGAATATGATATGGGTGGAAGGTTTCATGCCATCCACACATTTGCCTTCAAATTAGCTGTCCCATTAATATACCTTATAGCTTCTTTGGAGCCCTGGTGGTGCAGTGGTTAAAGAGCTCGGCCTTTAACCAAAAGGTCGGCAATTCGAATTCACCAGTTGCTCCTTGGAAACCCTATGGGGCAGTTCTCCTCTGTCCTTTAGGGTTGCTGAGTCAGAATCGACTTGACAGCAAGGAGTTTTTTGGTTACAGCTTCTTTCCTTAGACCATTGTCAAATAAGAGATTTATAATTTATTTTATATATATATATATATATATATGGTATATTTTGCAACTACTATGAAAAATCTGAGTTTCCTCTTTTTTTGACAGACCACAAAGACAAAACAAACAGTGATAGGTTCTCATTTTTAGTAAGTAAGAAAGAAACATTAGATTTTCTTACTGGAAACAAAGGGCTGAGTCAGATGCTCTATAGCACTGCTGGCCTATATTCATGCAAGCCACATGTGTGCTCTTAAATTTTCTAGTAGCCATACTGTGTAAAAACAAACATCTGAAAATAATGTTAAAAATTTGTATGTTTAACCGAATACAGGCATACCACAGAGATATTTCAGGTTCAATTCCCAACCACTGCAATAAAGTGAATATCGCAATAAACAGAGTCCCATGAAGTTTTTGGTTTCCCAGTGTATATAAAAGTTATGTTTACACTATACTGTAGTCTATTAAGTATGCAATAACATTATGTCTAAAAAACAATGTATTTTGTGAACAGTGCTGCAGTGAACATGAGTGTGCATATATCTGTGTGACGGCTCTTATTTCTCTAGGATATATTCCAAGAATCAGGAGAGCTGGATCCTATGGTACGTCTATTTCTAGTTTTTTAAGGAAGCGCCAAATTGATTTCCAAAGTGGTTGTACCATTTTACATTCCCACCAGCAGTGTATAAGTGTTCCAGTCTCTCCACAACCTCTCCAGCATTTACTATGTTTTTTGGATTAATGATAGCCTTGTTGGGGTGAGATGATGTCTCATTGTTGTTTTAATCTGCATTTCTCTAATGGCTATTGATCGTGACCATTTCTTCATGTGTCTGTTAGTCGCCTGAATATCTTCTCTGGCAAAGTGCCTGTTCATTTTCTTTGCCCATTTTTTAATTGGGTTATTTGTCTTTTTGTTGTTGAGATTTTGCAGTATCTTGTAGATTTTAGAGATTAGATGGTGATCAGATTTGTTGTAGCAAATTGTTTTTCCCCAGTATAGGTTTGTTTTTATTCTTTTGGTGAAGTCTTTTGATGAGCATAAGTGCTTAATTTTTAGGAGCTCCCAGTTATCTAGTCTCTCTTCTGGTGCCTGTACATTGTTACTTATGTTTTGTATTGTGTTCAAGTCATGTATTAGGGCTTCTAGCATTGTCCCTGTTTTTGTCTTCCATGATCTTCCTCATTTTAGATTTAGTATTTAGATCTTTGATACATTTTGAGTTAGTTTTTGTGCATGGTGTGAGGTATGGGTCTTATTTCAGTTTTTTGCAGATGGATGTCCAGTTATGCCAGCACCATTTGTTAAAGAGACTGTCTTTTCCCCAGTTAATGGACTTTGGGCCTTTGTCAAATAGCAGCTGCTCATAGGTGGATGAATTTATGCCTGGCTTCTCAATTCTGTTCCATTGGTCTATGTATCTGTTGTTGTACCAGTACCAGGCTGTTTTGACTACTGTGGCTGTGCAATAAGTTCTAAAATCAGGTAGTGTAAGGCCTCCCACTTTGTTCTTCATCTTGAGTAATGCTTTACTTATCAGGGACCTCTTCCCCCTCCATATCAAGTTGGTGATTTTTTTTTCATGTCATTAAAAAATGCCGGTGGAATTTCGATCTGGATTGCATTGTATCTGTAGATCGCTTTGGGTAGAACTGACATTTTCACAGTGTTGAGTTTTCCTATCCATGAGCAAGGTATGTTTTTCC